CTATAGTCCCCGGCCACCTTATTATGAAGGCACTGCAATTATAGGAAACTACACCACGAGGCCGAGTTCTAATGCTTGCCGGTGGGCCCCGAGCACGGAAATAAGGTTGACCCTACAGTCAATCTCTGGGAAAGGAACTTGCGTGGGCAAGCCCCCTTCGGGGGTCCAGTCCTTATGTGCCCAGACTTTCCCTGTAGTCTCCAATGATTTTCACCTGCCCCCCGAGAATGGATGATGGGTGTGTTCCACTGGCTTAACTCCGTGTTTTCATGGGCAGGTACTCACTCAGTCTGAAGGCTTTTGCATTTTGGGTACAGTTACTCCCCAAAACACTGTACCACACTGAGGAGGACATATTCCAGTTGCTGAAACAAGGCGGGTACCCCCATGTTAAAAGGGAATGGGTCACTGCAATAACCCTGTCAGTGTTGCTAGGCTTAGGCCTTGCCGGGGCAGGGAAAGGTATCGCCTCCCTAGCCACTCAATCCCATCATTACAGTAGCCTTCGGGCTGCAATAGATTCTGACATAGAAAGAATAGAAACTTCTATTTCACACTTACAGGAATCCCTAACCTCTCTGTCTAAAGTAGTTCTGCAACTTCGTAGAGGCTTAGATCTACTGTTCCTCCAGCAAGGTGGTCTCTGCGCCGCCCTGGGAGAAGAATGTTGTTTCTACACCGACCATTCAGGAATAGTAAAGGAATCGATGGCTAAAGTGCGAGAATGTTTGGCTAAGCGTAAATTAGAGCGGGAGCAGAAACAGGGATGATTTGAAAGTTGGTTTAACTACTCACCTTAGTTAACCACACTATTATCTGCTATAATAGGCCCCGTGATCATACTCCTGCTGTTGCTAACCTTCGGTCCATGTATTATAAACAAGCTAATAACTTTTGTAAAAGCTAGAATAAACACTGTGCAACTTATGGTCCTCAGACAACAATATCAATAGGTACCCCTGGACGACTCAGCATGTTGAAGGAATCCAAGATTAGATTCACTCTACCCTCATGAGAAGGGGGGAATGAGAGGACAGTAATAAAGTATACCATAGACTTAGGTTAAGAGCATGCTATAACCCAGTAAATATGTAATCGGCTTGTGGACAATAGCACAGCCATTTTTAGTTTTTAGTTTTCTGTCATAAAACATAACCTGTAACTGTTTAAAGTTCCAGTTATAGGAAAAACTGCAAAGCTCCAGTTATTCTTCCCTTATCTCACTTTCCCTTTAGCAACAACCAATCAGGTGCCAGGGGGTAATCACCTGTTTCCAGATGTCTCTGTAACTTCCCTAGCTAGTGGACCAAGGTCAGCCCGAGTCAGGCTAGCCAATCCTCCACGATTAAGCTGACCACCAGAGGAACTACCCAATTAAATGGTAACAAAACTGGAAAGCCCCCCAAACTCCTCCTCCCTTTGTGTAAAAGCATAAAAGGCATCTGCTTAAGGAAATCAGAGACTCTGAATGTACTCCACTGTGTCGGTTGTCGACAGAGGTCCAGGCTCGAGCTTGTAAATAAAGACCCTCTTGAACTTTCATCAGAATTGGCTCTTGGTGGTCTCTCGGACTGAACATTCGGCCACTACAAGATGAAGATTCCATGGAATCCACATCGTAAGGCAACATTCCTGCCTTATAAACACAAGAGGATGGTCCCTCAAGATCACAGATCGTCTACAGAAACAGGATCAGGCTTAGGCCTGTCACTGTCTTCACTCAAGTGAACTTAATGGAATACGGAAAGGCGTGTCCTCTTTAGGAGAAATCTCTCAGGAAGGTATCCAGGCAGCTCCAGGAAGACTTTGAACGGAGCCTGCAGTCTTGAGCAAGGTGATCCTGCCTTTGTTCGAGCACAACAATGGCCTTGATCCTGCCTTTGTTCCAGCACAACAATGGCTGCCGAAGCAAGCATGAAGCTGAACAGCCCAGAACAAGCAGTTGTGTGCCTGCGGGCCAGTGGAGGAGGAAAGACTTTCCTTGTCCACTCACCACCCAGCTCCTGAACTCCCATGACGCACCCAATCTCGTCTTGCATCCTGGGAGCATTGGTGTGAACACCACCTTCCTCAGCAGGCATGCAGCCACACATCACATGACAGTGTAGACAGGGCAGTGATATTTGGCAAATGCTGCCTATGTAAATACTAAACTACTCAACACGATTCTTATTTATCTTTTTTTGCATCCCAATATTTAAATAGAATCCTCAGAGACAGAATTCACTCTTTGGTACTAAAAACTTATTCCAAAAAAACTTCAAAACCTTGTTTTAAATAATCGCTATCACTAACATATGCAAATGAAAGGACACAGCTATATTACATAAAGTTTTTTAAACAGAGGAATGCAAATTTCATTCTAATCCTGAAGAAGCAACAGCAGTGTTATAGACCCAGCACTTACTGAAAGTAGGAGTGCAGCCAGCTCTGCTTTTCAGCTGTCTGGATGCTGTAGGGGAGAGAGCCTCCAGCTTTTAAAAGAAAAACAAAACAAATAAATAAAAATTATAAAATATAATTTGAGGCTTTCCTATTAAGAAAAAAATATATTGTAAACAGTGAGAAGGTAAAAGGGGAAAAAAACCTACTTTCATGATTTCATCATATGGAATAGTTCTTGGAAAGGAAATGCCTACACTTACAGTAGGCAAGTTCTCTTAATGGGGTTTCCTTTCCTAGGGATGATGAACACTTAAAAAGTAAATGTCCACTATCTGAAATGAGAACAGTATCATTTAATCACTCACTGATGGTCAGTTAACATCTGTAATTGCACAGGTGTGAGGTGTTCAAATCCTGGCCCATCTGTGTCTCCCCTTGAGCAGGTGAGACACAGCTGCATAGTCTCTGTTTCTGCCCAAGACCATGGTACTTAGGTAGGAGGTAAGGACGAGCACTCAATCTCCCTGTCTCCTTCACCTCTACACACTACTTCCAAGCAAACTCTGTGCTAGCTGAAGGGTCTTACAAATAGAATGCATGATCGCAAAACAAATCAAAATGCTCAGTAAACAACTCAGTTTTAAAAAAGAAATTCTAAAGGCCTTATTTCCGCAAAGAGAATAAAGACAGTTCCAAGTAGAAACAGTCAGAAGACAATTCTTGTTCATCTTTGAAAGGTAGATACTCCACTGGAGATTCATCACTGACTTCCAAAGACACATGGGAACTTCTCCACATGATAGACATCCATAGGGGGATTCAAACACCTCCATGTAGCAAATAAGGCTCATTCTAGCTCCTACTGCAAATAACTAAAGACATGCTCAGTCTCAGACCCTTGATAAAATAGCTTTATTAAAAATGCCATGTATTACCCATTCAAAGTACATTTTGAATGGATCTAGTCCATTAGAGGCACAAAACAACAAGAGAAACTACCACCACATCCTAGAGCCTCAGTGAGACAACTTTAGCTGTGCCATGAAAAAGCATTAAATGGGCGGATACACTCTAAATCCTGTGGCAATTTTTCTGATCTAGGCTGATAAGCGATAAATGGACTACATTAGTCTACTTTTCTGCACTGTGTTTCAGTCACCAATGAAGGCCAATCTGATGGCTTTTTCCAGAGGCGAACACTGTTTGGATTGTTTGTTAACACCCCGACTGTACTATTGAGGGGGCCGCTGAATTCCTTGAGTGCAAAGACTGGCATCAGGGAAATGGAGGACAAGGCTGAAAGGAGTCAACAAAAAATCCCAGGTGTCTGCAGCTGAAACCCTTGCAATAACAGATATTTTTATAACTAAGATACACCAAAGTTAAGATGAAGCATAAACTTGGGCTTTAACCCTCTGTACTCGATGTCCCCTCTGAGAGGACATTGTAAACCACTCGGAGTCCCCTCTCAGGGGACATAAAGAGATTGCTGGTGATTATATAGGACAGACTTATTCCAGTGTGGATTTTAAAAAAATGTATGTTTCCTTGAATTTTACCACTCAAATTGCACAAAAAAGAAAATAAAGGGATGGAATATATACTGAGATATATGTAAAAAAAAATCAGCTGCTGTTATGTAGAAAGAGAATGTGTGACGTGCTTTCACAGTGGTACACAGACTGGACAATAAATTACATATTAATGTAGGAGGAAAAAAACGAGACTGTACTGTCTGCTTGAATAGAAAAAAATCAGGTTGAAGATGTGAAGCAAATTACTATTGTACAACATGTATCAGTGAACCTGCAATCCATGTTGTTGACTCACACATTACCACATGTTAGAAAAATGTAAGATACACATTTTGACCTTTTCATCACAAATAAGTTCCTCAATGCCCAAAATTCTACTGTAAACCAAATATCATTACAATAAAATAATCAGTTCCAACGCTATACTATTTTAATATGAAGTGATTTGTTTCTCTCTATTCCGTAAAAAAGAGCAGTTGGGCTCGTAGGTGATCCGGGAGACGTCTCAGAGTGCCAAGGGTTAAATATATCTGTATCAGGCATTCCAATGGAAGAGCCACACAGAACCCCAGACACAGGCAGGGAGGACGCGGAGGGAGATGGGAAAAAGGCACATGAATTCGCCTTGAAGAGGCATAAGTAGCAGGGAGGTTGATTTCTCTTGGGTATCTCTGAACAACCAACCTGTTGACCACCTTGTTGGTAAAAACAAGAATGACAACTGTGCAGAGGTTGTTGTAAGGATCAAATAACATGCCCAACCTGAGGAGTATTATCCATGGAACACAGGGCTCAATATTCCGTTTATCTAGTGAAGAGAAAACCATCTCCACATTTCTGGGGTTTTTTGTTTGTGTGTGTATGTGTTGGGGTCTCACTCTGTTGCTCAGGTAGGAGTGCAGAGTCACAATCATGGCTATGGCAGCCTTGACCTATTGGGCTCAGGTGATCCCTCTACCTCAGCCTCCGAGCATCTAGAACTACAGGCACATACCACCATACCTGCCTAATTAAAAAAAAAATTACTATAGACACGAGGTCCTACCATGCTGCCTGAGCTGGTCTCAAACCTATGGGCTCAGGCAATCCTCTCGCCTTGGCCTCCCAAAATGCTAAGATTACAAGTGTGAGCCACCGTACCTGGCCTCTATCTCCACATTTCTAACCAATACTGGTAAAAATTTAACAAATTTCTGGTAAAAATTTTACCAGGGCATTAATGGATGATGTACAAAAAACACAGTTGAGATAGTTTCCCCAAGAATTACCAGGATATCCTTCTAAGCTGGTCCGTACATTTTCCACAGAAGGATAGATCTAAAAATAAGAGAAAAAAAAAAAAACTTGGAATATGCCATGTTGAAGGAGTGATGATCAGCTTTTAAGAAAATTTAAACTGCAATTAAAAATACTGGTTTAAGAACTTAGAAAATATGCTTTGTATTTTTAAAAGTTTCCGTCTTAATGAAAAAGTTGAACTGTATACATATAGTTGATGAAAAACTTATACTTCAACTTGAACATTTTCCTCTGAAATGCCAAATTAACATGGAATTGAGTAAAAAAATTAATTATTAACTCATAGGTCTTTATGTAATTAAAATGTCTGTAATTCTGCTGGCAACGTTACAGCAAATATTTTCTTCCTTGGCTCAACAACCCGAAAGGACAAACAGAAAAACTATAAGCTGATCTGGGGCCGATACAGAGCCTCAGAGCTTCTAGCATGGTACAAGGCCACCTGACCACAAACAACGGTGCCAACCTCTGGCTCTTTTGCTCTGAAAGTCACTGATGAGACCTCTCTCCACTCCAGGGAGGACCAACTCTCATTCTCCCAGATGACCTCCCCGGGAGAGACTCACCAGGTGAAGTGGGGCAGCGCTCCTCCTGGCAGCCAGGTTCTCCTTCCCCAGCGGCAACAGGCTCTCTTTAAACTCAGAACACAACCACTTGGACTCATCAGCCCCCAAGGAGCCAATGCTGGAAAACTGACCTACTATGGGCCAGGACTCCGTGGCAGGGGCAGATGAGGCGTGTTCTCTCAGAAGCTGGGAGGAATAAAAATGAATGTGATAGTCACTCAAATCACACAAAGGGAAATCCCATGATACCTGAAAACAGTTCTCCCCCCTTAAAATGCCTACTGAGCAAGGAGAGCCTGACAATATTAGTGACCAATTTCATGCCCACATGTACATTTGTTTCTTCTTTGGGATTTTAATGGAGCAGGTGGACGAATGTTTTCCTTTCCAAAATTCTTTGATTTGTACTAAAAGCAAAAACAGAATTAGAAGGTTTAAAAAGATATATTTAATAGAAATGTCAGATGAATCCCCAAAATGTCATATGAAATTAGCCTTTTGCCTTAAAATCACCACTGGTTAATACACCTGTGATATTGTGAAACCTATATTATTTGGTCGTCTTCCTGTTCCTGGCCACAATTCCTAATAGCTTCACAAGCTTGAAAGTGACGTCTCTGGGTGTGCTAACGATGACTGGTGCCCGTGGCCTCTGTTGGCTTCAGGGTGGGGCTGGTCACTGGAAAGAACAGAGGGCTGGGACCTGCAGTCCCACTCTCTACCTCTGGGGAGGGGGAGAGGCTGAGGTTGAATTGACCACCATGGCCAGTGATGTCATCAACCAAGTCTACGTAATAAGGCCTCCCTAAAACCCAAAAGAACAGGTTCAGGGAGCTTTTCTGTAGTTGAACACGTGGAGTTTCTGGAGGATGGCACCCTGGGGAGGGCAATGAAGTGCCTTGTTCCTCTCACATACATCTGTGTTGACAAAAATACTAAATTCTGTAAAATAAAGAGGGGTCTATTTTGAGACAAATGTGAGTGACCGAGGCCTAGTATTTTATTCCTCTCAGAGCCTGCCATCTTGATATGGAAACCCACTATTGTCTGTCCATATTGTCACAATCCTTAAAAAAAGGCATAATGGATGTTAGAGTAGGCCTGCATGTACTTACATTCCTGAGAATTAGCAAAGGAAAGCGTATTCCCTTATCTCCTATACGTTCCTCAATAAGTCACTTCAAAGAAACCTAAACCCCCTATAGACTGTGCTCACTCAACTGAAATGAATCCCTATTCACTTCCTTTTATCAGTGGTCATAGATTTGAAAATATAGCACCCATGTAAACTTTAAGCCTTGTGATTTTACAGGTAATCGCTACTGATCAACAATATGTTGTAGTGAATAATGCTTTATTTTGTAACAGGCTCTGTTAACTCCCTTAATCCATGGCAAGCTTATTTACCTCTTTAGTTTGGTGTTATTAACAACAATATGAACTACCTTTTGGTAGTCAGTGCCAGGAAATGCAGACCATAAATGTTATGTTAACAAAATGTGGCTGTAACTTAAGTTCTATATGATGATGATGCTCTGTCAGTCATGTAGTCAGTGTATAGGTACCAGCAACCCTAAACTTATAAAAATGGACTGTGGAACCTAAGGCAAGCAGATTGGTTCCAGACATCATGAGCCAGGTTCTGCTCCCCAAATTCTGAAATAAACTTCTTTCTGCCAGTTCCCTGCCTCCTAATTTACTGGTGTCAAGAGAGAGCAGTCGAGCATTCACTTGGACCACAACACTCTGTCATGTGATGCTCTATCCGAGTCAAATGTTGCCAGGTGTGATGGCTCACGCCTGTAATTTCAGCACTCTAGTCTGGGAGGCTGAGGTGAGAGGATTGCCTGAGCCCAGGGGTTTGAGACCAGTCTGGCAACTTGGTGAGACCTCATAAAAATATCAGCTGGGTATAGTGGTGCGTGCCTGTGGTTCTAGCTACTTGGAAAGCTGAGGTGGAAGGATCGCCAGAGCCCAGCAGATAGAGGCTGCGGTAGCCATGAGCATGCCACTGCACTCCAGCTGGGAGACAGAGTGAGACTCCAACTCAAAAAAAACCCCAAAAGACAAAAAAAAAAAACAAAAAAAACAGAGTCAGGTGTCTCATTGCCACAGTCTGTCTGTCAGTCTCATGATCTCTACTTTGATGTGAATGATGGTCATTTGTATCTAAAACTCCACAAGAAAGGGCGTGTAACAAGGCGTGTCCAACTCCTTCAGTCATGGTTGACTTTAGTTCTTCTGGTTTTCTGGCCCAGAGGGGGTCCATTTAGTCGGTTGGGGCTTAACATTTTATTTTGGCTTTACATTTGCCCCATGCATCTCTTCATCTGTGTCCTTTGTAACATCTTTTATAATCAACTGGTCAGTGTTTCCTGGAGTTCTTTGAGCTGCACCAGCAAATTAATGGAGCCAAAAGAAGGAATCGTGGGAACCCAGAGCTGTGGTTGAAGTCTGGAGGTCCTGACTTGACTGGTATCTGAGGCCAGGGCAGCCTTGTGGGACTGAGCCCCCAACCTGTGGGACCTGAGGCTGTCTCCAGGAGACAGCAGCAGAAGACAACCAGCCAGTGTCTGCTTCCCCTGTCCATTGTATGGGGAAAACCCCCATATGTGGTCACAGTTTTCTGTGTTGGCTGCTGTGGTGTGAGTTTTTTTTTTTCTTTTGAGTTGGAGTCTTACTGTCGCCCAGACTGGAGTGCAGTGGCTGCTCCCGGCCACCACAGCCTC